GACCCAAGAAGGAAGCTCCTGTCAAGAAGCAACAATGGGTTGCCAAGGAGGTTGCTCTAGTAGCTCATACCTTTCTTAGGATGCCAACCAAAGAAGATTGGTACTTTGACAGTGGCTGCTCTAGACACATGACTGGAATGGAGAACCTTTTGGTAAATATCAAACCTCATTCCTCAAGTCATGTAACATTTGGTGATGGAGCTAGAGGAGAAATCACAGGTGCTGGACAGCTAGACTATCCTAGTATTCCAAAACTGGATGATGTCATGTTGGTTAAAGGACTGACCATTAGTCTTATCAGTATCAGTCAGCTTTGTGACCAAGGATTTAATGTTAAATTCACTAAGAGTAATTGTACTGTCACCAATGAAGAAGGTGAGGAAGTCATGAGGGGGTCCAGAGCCAAGAACAAATGTTACCTATGGGAGCCCAGAAGTAACCTCAATGGCTTGGTCCAAAAAGAGAAGAAGGATCAATTGTGGCTGGAGAAAGGAAAACATCTTTTAAAAATATAAAGGACCATGTCCAAAACAGTTGCAAGAGGAACTTTAAAGTCTACTTCAGATAGTAGGACAGGATGTGGTAAATGTCGTGTGGGCAGGCAAGCCAAGAAGGGACACCCAAAGAATGCCCATCAGGTAAATATAGATATGTTATACTGGAATCTGTTGGAGTCCATGGAAGCTACCCAGCATACAGGGAGCAATGTCACTTAGAATGTCATGACATTGTTTTGTGACAATCTCAGTGCCATAAATTGGAATCCAAGTCAGTCAGAGAAAGATATGAAAAATATTGTCTGGCTTCACCCTGGGAAAGAATATGAGGAACTAGGAGACTCAGAAGCATACAGTGATCACAGGGATACAAGGGATCTCAAGACCACTCAATTTGAAAATTCACTAAGTAAGTTGAGAACTGAGCCTAATACTGAATTTTAGCAATTAATAGGGAATTATATTTTGAAAAATAATCATATTCTGATTGGTCAAAATATGAATTCCCTCCATTTCTTCAAGCAAACCCTTCTAACCCCTTTTGCTTCTACCAAATCGCCTATTTCCTTACCTCACATAACCTCATCAGAAAACCTCTTTCGATACAGCCTAAGTCATCTACAATGTCTCAACATCATACCTCCATCCCTACCAAGCCCGACTATGCTCAACACAAGAGCATCTCTCTGGATGATGTGATGGATGTCATTCCTCTAAGTATGATTTTTGGAAGAGGTAGTGAAGGCCAAACTTCAACCCCTTCACATGCAGAGAAAAAAGGTAAGAATTTTGAATCCTCCACAAACAACAATAACAAAATGAAAGACTTTACACAAAAGGGCATGTATGTAGATGAACTGGTCTTCAAACTATTCCATGAAGGTTGTGAAGTACAAGGGATAACCATTCCTCTGTCTAGGGTAGATCCATCTCCACGTCACAATGAAAGCCACGAAGATGACTCTGAGTGTTTCTCTGCTAAGTCTAACCCTAACACAGAGAACCTAGAAAATCTAGCTAACTCTGTGGTACAGGAGGAAGGTCTGGATGATGACCAACATGATGAACCCAAGAGCTCAAAAAATGAGGAAGAGATGAATGAAGCTGCTGGAAATGGTGATCATGTTGTAGATGTGTCATCAGATGATGAACTCATCAAGAATGTTGCTCCTGGTATAGCCAGGAAACTAGTGACCAAGAAAGGAAAAACTGTACTTGAAGGAAATCATTCCAAAAGTCAGAGAAAAATAACTCTTGTTGGACCTTCTAAATCTTGGAACAAGGCATCAACTGCATCCAAGAGAAGGAAAGTTACGAATAGTAACTCTGAGTCTGATGGTTATGTTGTGAGAGATGTTCCTAACATCTTCTATGTGAAGAAATCCTCAAGTAAGAAAACTCTGAAACCCATGCCAGCTGCTCCTCTAGAAAATATCTCCTTTCATTCCATTCACAGTGTGACAAAATGGAGATATGTCTATCAAAGAAGAATAGCCCTTGAGAGAGACTTGGGAGAGGATGCCTTAGAGATCAAGGAGGTAATGGATCTCATCAACAAGGCAGGACTGATCAAAACAGTTGTCGGTTTTTCAAAATGCTATGAAGAACTGGTGAAGGAGTTTATTATAAACATACCTGATTCAATCTCAAAAAAGGACTGTAAGGAGTTCATGAAGGTATTTGTCAGAGGAATGTGTGTGCAGTTTTCACCAGCTGTAATCAACAAGCACTTAGGGAGAGAAAATGGGGGTGAGAAGGAGTTGGTTGCATCAGACAACCAGGTTTGCAAAGTGATCACTGCAAATCAAGTCACTACCTAGCCATCCTAAGGTAAATTGTCTACAGCACTACTGAGTTTAAAGTATGTCATTCTTCATAGAATTGGTGCATCTAATTGGGTGCCTACCAACCATACTTCCACCATTGCAATTGGCCTTGGCAAGATCATTCATGCCATAGGTACCAAATTTAACTTTGACTTTGGTCTATACATCTTTGATCAAGTTGTTAAGCACTCAACAACCAGTGCTATCAAGCTACCCATTGCTTTCCCTTCCCTCATTTGTGAGATCATACTCAATCAATACCCTAGAATCCTGAATTCAAGTGATGTTTCCAGCAAAAGGGAACCTACAATGTCTCTTCACTTTAAACTATTTGAAGGTAGACATGTGCCAGATATGGCTTTCACTTCTAGTGAGAGGGCCAAGATCTCTAAAATAACGGTAATAGCAGAATTAAAGGAAACGTGTAGGGAATTGGGAGAAACCATCGGGATAGCAACTGCACGAAAGATCAAGTTAGAATCATTTATTCAAAGTCTTGAAAGAGATACTGCTGATGGTGTAACTATGTCAGGTGCAGATTCTGATGACTGTGACAAGGATGTCTCAATCGATGCTCATAACATTGGTTCCAGCTCTGAAGAGGAAGAAGGTTAATGAGGTGGTAGCCTATTGTGTGGCTCATGCTGATGGTGTGCTGTTTATGTGTGTTTGTTGGTTCCTTGCTTAGAATTTTGTGTTTTTCTTGTGACAACAAGATGTTGTGTGATGCTCTCCATGAGCAGTTTTTGTTTATAATAACCCCAAGCATATGTAATGTTACTCATTATGATCTATACTATTTTATTAGTTTGATCCTAATTTGTGGCTAAAAAGGGGGAGAGAGAGTGTTAGATAACAGTGGTAGATAACAGCCAACAGGTTAGAGATGATGCAGGTGGAATACTTGTGTGTAGACTTATGTTTATTACTGCTAGAGGTGTGTTACAGGTGCTACTGCAAGGTGCTGCTGCAAATATGCAGGTGTGATAACAACTGATGTTGTTAGTGGTGTGTGAGTTCCTAATGAGTATAGTAATCTATGTTAGTTGTGTGTGTTCCTTGATGGAACCTAGTAGTATTGTAGCTGCTAGTAGGGTGTGTTTCTGCAGGGTGGTTGCAGAATGCATGTGGCTGTGCACCTCTTCAGGGGGAGTAGCATAGGATGCTTCACAGGTGATTGTGCACTTCAGGATGTTATCCTGAATGTCATAACATCCAGAGCAGGCTGGATGAATATGTGTGACTGCAAGCTATGTAGGTTGTGCCTAGCTGATGTAGTATGCATCAGTTGAGGGGGAGTAACCCAGAATATTACTCAAAACATTATGACATATGTAGTGTTGACTAACAGATGATTCTGTGTGAACAGGTTGATCCTGAGAAGCTGAGAGCTAATTGTGTAGACAACTCTTATAGTGCTTAGCTAGTAACTTTCCTGCATGATAGGCTATATGTTAGACTTCTGCTGCTTGTAAACTCTGATATGTTAACAGGGTGTTTTAGCCAAAAATTTGCCAAAGGGGGAGTTTGTAGATGGTTTTGATTGGCTGCATTTTGTGGCAAAACATTAGAGTGTATATGAATGTCATGACTGATGTTATGACATACACTAAGAGTACTCTGCAGGGTAAGTGAAGTTGGATGTCATGACTGGATGCTATAACATTGATCATATGACATCAGACGCGCATGGTTTATTTTTCTGTTATTAGCTCAGGCTATACTTCAGGAAACAATCCAGGAAGCATAGTTATTTTAGACGACATAACAGGCATTGTTGAGGAGAACATAGAAGACTCCTGACCTGATGATAAGTGCGCAGCTTCATGAAGAGAGATTTATCTTGGGTAAACCTAGTTTCTCCATCAAGGCCCAAAGCAAGTCCGTTGCTATAAATAACAGAAGGATCATTCCTAATAGGGAGAAAGCTTGAAGAGAGAGCTTCAAGACAGAGAGTGGAGAGTGTGATTTGTGAGTGAAGAACTCTAATCTTCACGTGTGTCTAGGAGTCTTAGGATTCCTTGTGCGCCAAGCAATTGTATGTTGTATAATTGCTCTGGTTATTGTGTATGAACAAGTGTGTTCATTGTGTCACTCAAAGCTATTAAGCAAGAGTGTGTGTCTCTTGATCAAAGATGTGAAGCAAGATCAAGGTGTGTTTGAAGAGTGTCTTCATATTGTAATTGTGAATTGTTTATCACTGCGGTGATTGAGGGGGAGTGAGTGGGTATACTCAGGTCTAGTGGTCTCTAGGCTGAAGTGTCATTGGGTAGGTCTTAAGTGAAGAGTGCAAACTGGGATTGTTTGACTCTGAATTAATTCTACTGATAGTGAATTTCCTCTCTGGCTTGGTAGCCCCCAGATGTAAGTGTGGTTGACATTGAACTGGGTGAACAATTACTTGTGTTATTTACTACTTTCCATTTACAGCTTATTATTAAGTGCAGTAGTCTATGTTACATTGGATGTTATAACATCTGTGATAACATCCATCGCGTGCTTGCCAGAATTTCAAAAAATATTAAAACAAACTTCAAAATTAATATTCAAACATAATGATACAAGATAGATCCAAAAACATGTAATATTATAAGCATTTATTACAGATGAGAATTTATTACAAGTCATTTATCAAAAGTAAAATTATTGAAAGTAAAAATAAAAAGGCATATCACGTTTAATACCCAGGAGGTGGAGGGGAACTATATAGATAAGGATTATATAGTGTTGGTGGAGATTTGTAAATGTACGGAGGAGGTGCTGAATAAGATGGACGAGATGGGGGTGCATCGATGTAGGATGCAGGAGGAGATTTATAAACATATGGAGGTAGTGTTGGGGTTTTATAGATATATGGTGGAGACTCATAAACATATGGAGAGGGTGAAGACTTGTATATGTATGGAGGTGGTGGTGACTTGTAAACATATGGTGGGGGAGGAGAGGGGTATGGTGGAGGAGGAAATTTGTATACATATGGAGGTGGTTGTGAGGGTGGGGGTGGACTCTTGTATACATATGGTGGGGGAGGTGGTGACTTATAGACATATGGAGGAGGTGGTGAAGGGGATGGTGGTGGTGGTGAGTTGTAAACATACGGAGGTGGTGGACTAATATATACATATGGAGGTGGAGGAGAAGGAGATGGAGGAGGTGGTGATTTGTAAATATATGGAGGGGGTGGTGATGGAGACGGTGGAGGAGGAGATTTGTAAATGTAAGGTGGGGGAGGTGGTGATTGGTAAACATATGGAGGTGGTGGGCTATTATAGACATATGGTGGTGGAGGAGGAGACTTGTAAACATAAGGTAGAGGAGGTGGTGATGAGTAAACATATGGAGGAGGTGGACTATTATAGACAGATGGTGGAGGAGGTGGTGACTTGTAAACATATGGAGAAGACGGTGATGGTTGGGGAGGAGACTTGTAAACATATGGTGGAGGGGGTGGTGAGCTGTAAACATATGGAGGAGGTGGACTGTTATAGACATATGGTGGAGGAGGTGGTGACTTGTAGACATATGGAGGAGGCGGTGATGGTGGGGGAGGAGACTTGTAAATATATGGTGGAGGGGGTGGTGATTGGTAAACATATGGAGGTGGTGGACTGTTATAGACATATGGCGGGGGAAGTGGCGACTTGTAGATATATGGAGGAGGTGGAAGTGATTTGTAGACATAAGGAGGTGGTGGTGAAGGAGATGGTAGAGGAGGTGATTTGTTGTAATATGGTGGAAATTTTTCGACATAAGGAGATGGTGGAGATTTATAGTAATATGGAGGATATTTATTATCATATGAAAGAGGGGACTGATAATTATACGGAGAGAATTTGTTTTCATAAGGTGGTGGAGATTGATAGTAATATGGAGGGAATTTGTAAGCATATGGCGGTGGAGATTGATAGTAATATGGAGGAAATTTGTAAGCATATGGGGGTGGAGATTGATAGTTATTATATGGAGGTGGCTTGTAACTGTAGGGTGGTTGGGGATAGTTGTATGGATATTGACCTCCATAGTAAGGCTTGTCATCATCAGCAATAGCAAAAGTACTAAAAGCAATTATGCAAAGTGCTATTGCATAGATGAGTCGAAGCCATTGCGTGGCCCCAATTGAGGTTCTCATATTCTCTTAGTGTGCAGCCCTATTTATCTTCTTTTGCTATTTAGAAGGTTTGTTGTTTATGATTGCTTAAAGTATATGGATTGTACCTCTTTATATAGTGTTATGGCCTTCAATATCTTATACCTTTTAAAGCTTATTGACAAAATGGCTCAATATTTTTATAAATCGCTTTCTAAGATGATGCTCCCTATATTTTTGTCCCATTTTATATTTCAACTTGTAGTTTACAAAGTCAAGAAGTGCATGACTGTATGTACTCCTTACATAATTAGATTTGATCAAACATTTTTGGAAAAGAGCGAGTCAAGAATTGACTCTTGCTATTCCCATTGACTTTTGGAAAATCTCCGGTGATTATGTAAACAAGATATTGTGTAAAATAGAAGTTATATGAAAATGTAAAATGCTTTTATTTCTTTAATCCAACTTGAGTATCCAACAATCCAACCTCAAGCGCGTTAACCAAATGACAACATTTCATAGATAAATGTAAATAATTCAAGAGCATTGAGAAGGCAGGAGTCTTTTTCAATTTAATCAGAGGTTCTAGGTTTTTATCCAGCCATGAGCATGCAGCAGTGTTAAATTATTTGAAGAAGAATTTTGCCGTTTATAATGGTCCATCTCGACTCAATGAGCAAACATTCTATCATTTCCGACCAAAAGTTTCATAGTGTCTCGCAGTTATAAATTTATGGTTTTAGACACTGTCATTTGCTATAGAGTTGGATAAACTTAAAACATTAATTTAATCGTTTCCATGGATTTTGTATTTGAGAGATGTGGACTATCATAATCTTACTCTCGTTAACTTGACCCTATAGGAAGAAGCTCGAAAATCCAATAATCAAACTTAACAGCCCTTAACATGAAAACGTTAAGCAAAAAGACGTAGGTACATGTTTGTTTTGTTAACTTCAGAACTCATTGATTTGATTTTTTTTAGAATATTAATCTGTGTATGATTTTAAAATAGAGTCTGTTATGCTGGATTTCTTTTGTCTGAGATATCGCAGGGGTCCACTCAAACTGGGTGAGACTTTTTCATTAGTTTTCTAAAGTGAAAAATGAGAAGAATGTCTTTATTATGAAAAAAAGAAAAGTAAAATGAGATTGAGTTCTTAAAAACATCCGCAGAGAACAAGGGCAGATATGTATTGGTTGAGCATTAAGGAAACATTGAAGCATATAATCACTATTGATACACAAAACCAAAAGATAAGACAGAGAACTTGAGAAGATTTTCAACTATACAATTAAGTGGATGAAAGTTTGGAAGAATTTATATATTTTATAATTTTCATGGTTTTAATATACAAATTGATTGTGTAGTATTATCATTGAAATTGTATTTGTTTATGAAAGCAGAATGTTTTTATAAATCGCATCGGTAATCAAATTGATGAGTATATTAGGTCAATGATTTATTGGTCGAATTATTGTGTCACTGGTTGAACTGCATGATCAAACCGAATTAAATCTAATAATTCTGTTGAATAAACTAGTACTTAAAAAATTTTAAAATATCATAATTTCACAAGTTAGTTCTTTAAATTTAAATTCTAAAGATAGTCCTCACACATGATAAAATAGTACAAAATAAAAATAAAAAAATAAAATAAAATATAATTGCAATTAATAACAAAATACATGCAGTGTTTAGTAAATTTAATTTCAATGAGAGAATGTTGTTTCAAATAAGTTTTAAACAAAGTCTACTTATATTTTAATTTTCTCTTAAAAATAAATTAAAAGGATGTCGTTTTGTCGGAGAGAAAAAACAAGCATTTAACTCGCAGTTCACCTGATCTTACTAATTTTGACTAGTCCCCATTGATTCAATAGCTTACCCAATACAATAATCAAACCAGAACAATGACCCCTCTGATTCCTAATTCGATCGGCCTGTCTGATCTGATTTTTAAAACACTGCTCTGCATTGTAATGAATATGAATTTTAATGGTACAATTTTATTGAAATTGTGTACCTTATAATGTTTGCTAAAAGTGCATGCCTTGTGGTGTTTCCTGATGCAATACAATGGTTCAATCAACATGAGTGTGCATATTTTGTACAAATCCATAGTGAAATGTGTAGTTTTTAAAAGTACAATATGTGACAGCTCTTAGTGATTAAGAGATGTCAAGGGCTCTTAGATTTTGGTATAGGGTTTAGAGCTAACTTACGTACGAAGGTGAGAAGCTTTATATATGTGGTATATGCGTAAATGAGATTGGATCTTTTCAACCTTAAGGTTGAATATTTCTAGAAGTCTTTGGACATGGATCTCAAACTTAGTGAAAATAGAAACCGCTCTTAGGAGCGTGGGAATGTGATAGCTAGTCCCATATTATTCAGGTCAATGTGATAAATTTCCCTTGACTCCCTCTCGACATTGTTGTGGGCTGAGAGACGTCTGTGGGAAAAAAATTGATTTGTACCATATCTCTAAGATTTTGATGATAACAAAGTATTAAAGAATAATAGGGTATACTAACAAATGTTCAAGTATGCATTTCTGTAGACTAAAATTTCTGAAGAGAACTTAGTACTAGTATTGAGAAGGGACATTTAAAGAGAAGTTAAAGATCTAGATTCTAAAAGATCAGAAGCTGAAGATCCCGATATTGAATGATGTCAGCCTTTGAAGATCTAGACTATGAAGATCAACACAAGGATCAAGGAGATTCTGATAGATCACTATCAGACTCAGAGGATATTTTATCTTCTTCTAATCACGTGAAGACTTAAGCAAAACTTTGTAGAAGAAGGTTGGGATGCAACATATAATTCCTTTTGTAGCAACAGATTTCAAATTAGCTTTCAATGGTATTAACCATATCAAGAAACATCTCAGCATCTTTGAATCAAACTTCTTAGAGACTCTTTTAAGAAAACTCTTCAACGACTCTTTTTCTTCTCTATATAAAGAGCTAAAGACTTGAAGAATAACAATGAACCTTTGACAATAAAATAGTTGTTACTCTATCAAACAGAAAGCACAAGTTTAACTGTAATGTCTTGTATAATATATATCTAGAATAATACCATACAAATGTTATTATCTGGTACTGACACCAATCATAAGTACCTAGTGGCATAAATTACATATACTTGACCATCTCTAAAATATAAAAAAACAACCTATGGTACAAGATATGGAGAGTTCCCGAAATAGTAAAACTAAGATTTAGGTACGAAATCCTTAATCATACGAGATACACAATACACAATACAAAATGCACTACAGAAATAAGCATATCCAAGCTTCTCTTGAAACATCCGAGCAAAGCTCCACATGCAAACTAAACCTACAAATAATACCTGAAAAACAACAACAATAATGGGGTGAGATGATAATCTCAGTAAGTTTCCCTATCTTATGGGTTCACTCGACTATACAAGGTTCTAGCCAATTTCTATCTCAAGTTTAAAGGGAAAGGGGTAATACTTGAGTTCACACAATTTACAATGTATGAAAATATGCCTCTTAAGTCCATCAACTCAAACGATCACTAGTCGAAAACTATACCAAGGTATCCCCTTTTCCCATCCTCTCCCATGTCTAGGACTTTCGGTCGGGTCATGGATCCTTGTAATGTACTTTGACATACAACATATATTTGGATTCAATGTGTTTTACACATGAATCGTTGCTTCCCCTAGGTCCACCCCCATCACAAGCCTTTACCCGTAGGTTTCGTTCGTACTACACACGAGAATGAAACCTGTCAAAGTAATAGTGTGTACATTTCGGAGGAACACTCTATATAAGCCTCAACTTTAGGAACGACACATTGCAAGGGATTGTCTCCGACTACATGATAAAGAATAACATAACGTCGAATGGATTTGGATTCTAAAGGATAACATCAACCTTTCAAATTGCCACATCCATTCGCTTATGTAATCACTAAAGATAGCGTGATTATATTCAACAATCACAAGGCATCACATTCGCCTTAACCATAACAACACAAGATACATGTTTCATACAAAGCTCTCCTCACAACTAGACAACTACTTACCAATGATACAAACCTAGGCATCCTTGCACAAGCATTGTCATCTATGTTATTCATCACGACCTAATCATCTTACTAATTCATTTCATTAGTTAATATCAAGGGTTTTCTCACCATTCTCATAGTCTTTTAAGCATGTTATCACACAACCACATTCATATATATAGCATGCATAAACACATACGGTAAAATAGTATAACACATCAAGCATAAACATCTCAAATAAGACATAAGATCATCATTATTTCTCTACTAACATTCTCGGTTAATTTGTGATCACATATTATATAGGTCTTTCGGAGCCAAGCCCCTCACCATAGATCAAACCAATCATATAGTGCTCAACACAACACTAGGTGTACATCTTCACCCATTCACATAATATTTCACATTCTTTAAATTCAAGTCCATCCTATCAAACCAATGCATATAGAAATTTTTTCATGTAGAGCATTGGAATAGCTTCCCAACTCTTCCAACCGTGCCTCGATCCGAGTTACTATTCAAAAGTTTTGAAGGAAACGAAACATGAAATACATTGCATGGTTCACAGTGAAAAGTCTAGGCGAGGTCCTTTCCCTTGAGTTTTGTGTGCAAACCCTGGGCAAACTAGAAAAAAATTATGGCAGTAGCGAAAGGCCTCAGTGCTCGTAGTGCGAAGGCTAGGCGAGCGCGCGCATTCACTTCGCTACCAGCTTGCAGGGCGAGTGTAGCAGGCTGATACGTTCGCTGGGAACTCGCTGGAGTTCGCATGGAAAAGTCTAAGAAATGGGGATTTTCAGCAACGTGAGAATAATGTCTTCCATGGAAAAACTCCAAAATCCTAACACCCCACAATCATAACACACATCCAAACACTCATAGGAACATATATTAGCATGATTAAATATGAGCTTCATCAAATCATAATATCAACAACATTTCAACTCCATTTAACATATTTTCACACAAAACCCTAACCCATCAATGTTCTC